CTCTCCCTTCCTCTCTGTAAAAAATCAATAAAATATATTTAAAAAATAAAAAATAATAAATTCCCTAGTGTTGTACCCCCACCCTAACCATCCCCTATCCTAGTCTTTCAAAGTGCCCCACCCTAAGTCCCTTCCTACAGAATTCTGGAGCCCCCATTTTTGGCGAGAGCAGCTTTCCTTCCTCTAGTGCCTGCTGTGCCACCAGCAGCAAAAGGCAGGCTGGTCACTCAGGGTCCTGAGCTTGAAAGGAGGATTGGTGGGTCAGAAGCTGTTCCCGGCCATCCACTGCCGGCTGACAGTGAGGAGTTCTATCCTTCAGGCCATGCCATGGCAGGTACTACTCAAATGAGTTATGTGCTCACTACTCAAATTTACATGGTCCGATCAGTGGCCCAGGCTCTGAGGTGATGATACGTTCCTTTCCTAAGACTGTAAGGGAACTGCTTAAAGTAGTCATCGCCTCTTTCACAAGGCTACTGACTTCGAGCAAAGGCCTTGCCTGAATGCAGTGATGCTGTCAGGACAATCTGTGTCCTGCCTTTCATAATTCCACGTTGGACAAGATCCCTGGGTCAAGTATATCAGAAATGCCCCATAGAGCTGCAGCTGAACGTACCAGATGACACGAGGACGACAGGCTTTGCTTTGCCCTGGGCCCCGTGGAGCAGCTCCAGGGGCACGAGTCCGCCAGCGGCAGGACCTCCCCGCAGCTTCCATGACATTGAAGAGGAAGCTGCCTTTTCTGCCATTTCCTGCATAAGCAAGGAGTTCTGCAACTGGGCATTAAACGCTTTGCTGATGAAGCTGTTTCTGATGAATGAGGCAGAGCCCCAGCTGAGCCAATTTGAAAGCATTAAGAAGGCAGGCAGGACCTCAAGCCTGCAGGAGGCAGGCAGACTGAGCACAGCCAATGGTGTGAACTAGATCCATGCAGGGAAGCATTTGAAGGAGAGAGCTTAAATTCCTGGGTCCTTTGAAGATGAAGAAATGTTATACTTGCAAGCATTTTCTAAGACAATAAATAATGAAGAACCATGTCTTGTAATAAAAATAGCAGCAGGAAAAAGGGAACTTAAGCCTTAGCCAGAATTATTTTTAACAAGCAAAGTATATTTACGTATTACCTGTATAATTCAACATTTTTAAAGGCAGAACATGTAGTCATGGAGGTACAATCCAGTCAAGCATAATGTGGATTTGCCCCCTTTTGATGTATTCAATAATATTTATATTAACACGTTAAGCGCCCAGCTTATTTTGTCTTCTAGATGGGAAGTATAGTGTCAGTCACCAGTGGCTGACTGGGTGCTTAACGTGTTAAGAGCTCTATCCTATATAATAAAAGTCTAATATGCTAAGTGTCCGGTCATCTGTTCAACCAATCAAAGCAATATGCTAATGATATACTAAGGCTACTCAACCACTTGCTATGATGTGCACTGACCACCAGGGGGCAGAGAGTTGACTGGTCAACCAGTCACAATGCTATGCACTGACCACCAAGAGGCAGACGCTCCAACTGGCAGGTTAGCTTACTGCTGAGGTTCAGCAGATTGGGACTGTGCTAGGTGGGCCGGACACATCCTGGAACCCTCCCACAGTCCCTCCCCAGCTGGCCAATCTTCTGCATTCTTCCCCAGCCCGGATCATGCACCAGTGGAGTCCCTTGGCCTGGCCTGCACCCTCTCACAATCCAGGACCCCTTGGTGAATGTCAGAGAGCCGGTTTGGGCCCAATCCCACAGGCCAGGCCAAGGGATCCCCACTGGTGCATGAATTTGTGCACCAGTCCTCTAGTATTACAATAATAACTTTATATGAGGAAAGGATCTAAATGAAGTCAGAAAGGAAGGTGGTACATTCCAAGTCCATGTGTGCATGTGGTATTTGCTTTGAAAGTACGTAGTCCCATATAAACTAATGAAGCTACCAATATCTCCAACATAATTTTCTATTCATTTCTCAATTCAAAATCAAAGACAATCACCACCACCACCACATCACTCTTTTTTTTTTTTTTTAACTCTGAAAATACAATTGTGGCAAGTTAATTAAGAACATGATTATGCCCATCTTCAGCCATGCTCTTAGCAAGACCAATAAATACAGAAAGGTCAATTCACACCCTCAGGTCCATTTTACTAATCAAATGGGAAACAGACTTTGGAGACTTTAATAAATACCATACTTTCATTTGCAACGTTTTTATTTTGTTTTGTTTTTTTTCAAATATCCTTTTGTAATTTTTAAGAACCACTATGGATAGGTTTGTTTTGTTTTAACACAGCCTAAAAGCAAAATTGTTTTTAGAGTAAAACTGGGTAAATGGAATCAGAACTAGGAAAGTGTGAATGAGAATGGGTCCAGTGGGGAAAGGATAAGGATTAAAAAGTAGAAGATAACCTTAGGGAAATGTGGAAGAAAGTGTCTATACAAAAAAATCTGAAAAATGACTAAGCTTTGTTCTAGAGAACTGTGAGATAAACGATGGCCTTTACTCACATTAGCCCTGACATTTGATATCCAAAGTGTTGATGGCTAATGGTTACTAGTCATATAAAAATCTAGAACACTATGCAATTGAACTTTCTGCTACGATGAAAATGTTCTGTTCTTTCTTGTCCAATCTGGTAGTCATGAGCCACATGTGGCTACTGAGCTCTTGGAATGTGATTAGTACAACCAAAAGAATGCTTTTTTTTATGTTACCTAATTTTAATTAATTTCATTGTAAATAGCCACATGAAGCCAGTGGCTACTGGATCAGACAGCACAGGTATAGAATATAAGACTGATTCATTTCAAAGGCTTATTTTTGAAGCTAAACCAAACTATTCATTTCATTTATATTTAATAGATTTTGCATACATGAATTAAGTAAAATTTCAAACAAAACATGGCTCTTGCTGCCTGCTCCATGTCATGCTTTTACTTTTATAATCAGTTAAACATCTCCCTGCTGGGTCAGAAGCTACCATGAGCACAAACGGCACTGGGCCTCTCTCATTCACCTCTCTGGGCCTATCTCATTCACCAGGCACACTGTGACGCTTAATAAACAGATGTTCACTACTGGTCAAACATCAGAGAAGTCAGAAAGGAAGTATCTTTCTTGGAAGGATTAGGCATAGAGGATGATCGGGAATACCTGGATCTCATTTTAAAAACTATTTGCAGGTTGTGTACTAGTGTACTCTAGGTAACTAATCTTTCTCCACTTTAACTTTGTTCTGCCCATTATTCACACAAAAGTAAGTAATATTTCTCACTAGAGGTTTACATATTCAATATTGCATTTTTATTTTAAAAAATGATTATTTCATGATTTTCTTAAATCACTTCTAAACCATTATGTACTCTTTTTATTCTTCCCTAAAAAACACTTCAAGCTTGCTTGTACCACTTTGCTGATATTTCATAAGCTGAACATGGAATCAGTTTTATCAGTTTGTTGATAAGATTCTCACATTGAACAGGACCTCCAGAGGTAAACTGATTAGAAGTGGTCTACAACATCTTTCTGACTGCTATTCTTACAAAGCAAAAAATTATATGTAAAAGTATATGTATTTGTAAATAAAACGTGTATATATACACACTTACACATCCACTCATATATACATATATAGCTACACACATGCATGCACTATTCAGCTTCCAATGAGCAAGTCCTTTATCATATACTAGAGGCCTGATGCATGAAAATCCATGCACTGGAAGGGGGATCCCTCAGCCTGGCCTGCCCCCTCTCACAGTCTGGGAGTCCTCAAGGGCAGGAAGCAACCTGGCAATCAGGGGAAGGAAATGCCCCCATCACACTTCTGCTGCTGCCACTGCTGGCAGTGTAATCCTCTGCTGGCCCTGGTTCCCTAAGCCTTGGGTGGCTGGGAAGCTGCCATCCAAGACTTGCCTGCACCTTGCGCTAGCTCTGGGTGGCTGGAGTTCTGAGGGGACTAGGGAACTCTGGAGGCAGTCACGAGGAGTGGCAAGACCCACCTGGAAGCAGGCCTGGCAGTGCTGCATGCCTGCAGCCCCAGCAGGGCTGAGGGGACTGAATGCCGCCATCTTTGTGAGGGAGTGATGTTCAATTAGCATATTCCCTCTTTATTAGTTAGGATTTTATTATCTACCTAGCTCTACTCTTAGAGCCCTATAATTGTGGTGGTCAGAAGAACTGCATTAGATTTCTAGCTCTTCTACTTTTTTAGATATGTACGCACGTTTGGGCAAATTACTTAAACCCTCTGGGCCTAAGTTTTATCAGTTTGTTGAAAAGATTAGATAGTATACTAGCTATGAGAGCACCAGAAGAGTCCCTAATGAATAGCAGGTGTGCCATGTTTGCTGAATGAATAAGTTATTTCATCAGTTTCTTGGGACCTCTTTGAGATGCTTACCAACCCCCTACAAATGGATGAGTTGATTATCTTCTCACAGTGAACAGGCTCTGGAGATTAAAGGCAGATTTAAGGGCAAGTTATTTATCAGGGACTGAAGGAACAAAGGAAAGGGATCTATTACAGTCTTAAGAAAATGGTGGGGGAACTCACAGAAAAAAAGGAAGAAAGTCTGATACCTGATAAAGATTAAATGAAAGGCCTTTCTCTGTTCTTTAAAAATGGTTCAACTCAGGCTACCTTCTAGTTTATTATCTGAAACTGTGGCTAACCTGCTGCCCATTTATCTTAAAGTATGAAAGATCACAAGACCACTCACTATTCAGCCTCCGAACCTCACATTTGGTAAATTTGACTTCTACACCTTTGCCTACCTGTTATAGAGCTTCTTAAACTCTGAGAGCATTTACAAATAGAATTGAGGTAAACAGCAGCTTTAACAGTTTATACAAAGAATCCAAAGGTGTGTAGCAATAAAGTACTTCTTTAAAAAGTTCACCCTGTCATTTGTTTCTAGTCTCTCTGTTAGGGAAGTACATAGAGTCAAGATCCTAGGAAATAAAGTCAAGAGGAAAGAGGGGAAGATCATGGCACTCATCCATACCTCAGCTTCCTGCAGGATCCCGTGGTTTAGGCACACCATGTCAGGGCAAGTGATGGGAGACCCACATCCGTCTCGGATTGCCAGCTGCATGTACTGTTTCAGGCACTGGAAGTTAAGAAGAAAAAAAGACAGACAATTACCTGCCACATTACAGGAGCACAAAGGTTACAAAACCACCACTGCCTCTCTTCTTCCTTACTTGGTAGTCCTGGGGCTCTTGTACTCAGAAAACATAAGTTATCACAGTGTGAATGCTAAGAGCCATCACTTTGGAAAGAATGCAAGACAGGCAATTTGGTATGACTTCATCCTAAGAAAATTGAGTTTATTCAAGGCAGCAAATTCCTGTAGGTTTACATTTACCTACCATAGATAGGCAAAAGAATTCTTTCTTCCTTCCTTCCTTCCTTCCTTCCTTCCTTCCTTCCTTCCTTCCTTCCTTCCTTCCTTCCTTCCTTCCTTTCTTCCTTTATTTCTTTCTTCCTTTTTTAACTTATTTGACTTCCCAGTTTAATTTTTACCTAGTGGTCCTCTCCCTCAAAGTTTTCCCAGAAATAGAACTGTGACCCTTGTGCTGAGCTAGCCAAACAGAAACAAAATGAAATTAAGACAATGATTTATTCAGAACACCCTTAACAGCAAATACACCTGGAAAAGATCATGTAAAAGATAATATGGGAGCCGACTATGGGCCATGGTGAATACTATGGTGAGGAGGTTTGAGTATAACCTGGTTAAGGAAGAATTTAATAGGAAAACAGAAACCCAGAGGAGAGGGGAGGGGAGGGAGAGAAGAGAAGAGAAGAAAAAGAATATCAAGGACAACTTGATCTACTCATTGCCTGTAACACCTGGATCTTGAGCAGTGGATGGAGATGTGAGTCAGACTAAGAAAGTAGAAGAGTGACTGATATAGCATTGTGGAAATCTCAATAACTCCTCCCTGCTCCCTCTCAACCCACCCTACATGCCCACAGGAAATTGAAGGCCACAGTTTCAGAAGATTATGCTCTTAATAAATCTATAAGTTGGCTTCTCAGTTTCTAGTAATTTGCTCATAATTGGTCAGCTCTTTAATATAAGCATGATGGGAAAACACACACACAACATACATAAGCTATTCAATGAATTAAGACTCTTACAAAGTGATCATCTATATTTATAAAAGCCTAAGTGTCCAGATGACCAAGCAACCAGACGACCAGACGACCGGTCAACCAGTTGACCTGCTGGTAGCTATGACGCACACTGGCCACCAGCGGGCAGACACTTGATGCAGGAGCTGCTCCTGGTGGTCAGTGCACTCCCACAGTGGGAGCACCACTGAGCAAACAGACACTGGGCTCATGGCTGGTGAGCACAGCTGCAGTGGTGCAAGCCTCTCCTGCAGATTCTCCCCTTGTGCACCAGAGCAGCAGCAGGCACAGCAGGGCTTGGATGAGCAGAATCAGAGCAGCACCCAGCCTGGACTCCGGCTCCTCCCCAGCCAGCTGCATGACACTTCATGCACTACTTCCTGCTGTGTGGGATCGATGAAGACAGTAGGGTGGAGCCCACGAGCTGGCGGGGAAGGCCGTGCTGCGGAGGTGTGGAGGTGCACTGATTCCCGCAGGCCAGGTCGAGGGACCCTACTGGTGCACAAATCCATGCACTGGGCCTTTAGTTATTTAAAACTGAACTTGAATCTTTCAAAATTACAGATTTACGTATCATCAACCTGTTACATTACAAATATTGTTGTTGCACCAACCTTTTATAAAAGCTTAACTACTAAATAACTTTTATGGTTAGAATACTGATGACATATTTATGAAACCTAATCCTTTCATTGACCATCTTTATTCATTTTCTCAATCTGAAATTGAAACTCACATCATGATTACATTTCAGAAAAATAATCATGTATTTATCTGACTGAAATTACTGTTACAATGTACTAATGAATCAATGACTAGGGCAAACCATTTAAACCAGATTTGCATCTCTTTTAGTAATTGATAATTTCCTTCTCTCATCACAGAAAAAAAATAAAATAAAATAAAATACCTCACTGGAGCCGAAGCTAGTTCGGCTCAGTGGTACAGCGTCGGTCTGTGGACTGAAAGGTCCCAGGTTCGATTCCGGTCAAGGGCATGTACATTGGTTGCGGGCACATCCCCGGTAGGGGGTATGCAAGAGGCAGCTGGTCGATGTTTCTCTCTCATCGACATTTCTAGCTCTCTCTCTCCCTTCCTCTCTGTAAAAAATCAATAAAATATATTTTTTTAAAAACTCACTGGAAAATAACCTAAATATCTAAGAACACATGAGAAAATTATGCTAAATTCATACAAGGAAAGCTGGAGAATCACAAAAATATTTTCAAATTCATCTCCACTTATATTACAAATTTGGAAGTTGAATCTAAGCTTTCCCAAGAGTTTACAATGAATGTTCTATTTACTAATATAATGTTCTTAGGTGCACTGTAACCACAATATATAAAACCAATGAATTTTTAAGGTTCCCACAAGTACTCTCCTGGCCACAATATTACATGACCCATGATTTTAGGAGAGAAGCTAGAGCTGTATACAATCAATGACGGTGTAATTATATGAATTCCATTTACCCTGTTGTTAAATGCTAAGAAACAGTGGTTCGAGAAAGAGATTTGTTAAGTGCTGGTTGCTAAGTAATGCTCTAGTGCAGGCACTTGACACTCCATCACTAGGGGCCTGCATTTCTATTCTAAGGCAAAGAGGGAAAACAACCAACTCTAGTTATTGCTTCTTATTAAATTTTCAAGTACCTTAGGTTCATGATGATCTTCTATTAGCTTGCACTAAAAATTTAATCTTAAACTCTCCCTCTCTTCCTCAAAACCTAAGTCTAAATAACACAAAAACTGAAAACATACCCATGAACCCCTGTGCATGTTACACAAACCAAACAATTCCAGAATAAACTGGCATCTAGCATGTAAATAAACACAGAGGAAAAAGGAAAAAGAAGAACAATCATCATTTAGTCACATTGAAAAAAAATTATATTCCAATAAACAATAGCATTAAACAAATGTCTAAATATGTAATTTTCATAACAGCTAACAAATTCTACAAGAAGTGTTTCAAATAAAACATCTCAAATATCCTGATAACCAAAGAAAGAAAGAAAAAAATTTGTCTTTTAGATTGTCAACATTTCACTTAATTAGTTTGATAGAACATAACATTATTTAGACCATGAGGTGCCATGTATAATAAAGATTATTCCTCAAAATCATTTCACAACACTCAAGGATTCAAAGGAGATCTAACCAAGAATTTAACATCAAACACCTGGTGAGCCAGATGACTTGTATTATCTCTTCCAGCCCTAAGAGCCTATGAATTATATACAGTGGGACCTTCCCAAAAAGAGGTTTCTCCTAGCCAAAAATTTTAAGAATACCAAAAAGCATTCTTTAAAAAAAATTATATATATATATATATATATATATATATATATATATATGTATAGTTGTTGTTGTTGTTGTTGTTGTTATTGATTTGAGAGAGAGAAAAGGGGAGAGGGAGACAGAGAAAAACATCAATGTGAGAGAGAAATCTCACTGCCTTCCAAACGCACCCCGAAGGAAGATTGAACCTACAACCTAGGTATGTGTCCTGACTGGGAATCAAACCAGCAACTTTCCAGTACATAAGACAATGCTCCATCAACTGAGCCACACCGGTTAGAGCCCAAAGAGCTTTCTTCATAGGTGTACTCATCTATTAGCTGGACAAGGGAAAAAGGGCTACAACATTTAGACAAAGAGATCCACCAAAGTAATATACATAGATACATATACATTTACTCTAAAGTTGCTCATTCTCTGGTACTAGATTTTTTACCTTTCTTTAAAATTTTCTCTAAGAAAAAAAAAAGCATTACAATCAATAGTGAAGGGAACTGGATTCTAACAATTAAGATTGAAGTACAAACTCTAAATTTTTCTTCAACATCTTGAGCAAGTCATTAACATCTCTAGCCATAACATTTTCAATTATAAAATGGAACAATACCACTTGCCAGGACTACTCTTACAGAAATAGAGAGTCCTTCATGAAGGTAAATACATGAAAACACCATGAAAAGTAAAAAGAGGTATGCAAACATCCTACATAATAAAAGGGTAGTATGCAAATTGTCCCCTTGACCAGAGTTCTTCCAGGAGTTTGATCAGAGAGTGGGCCAGCTAGGGGAAGGAAGGGAGGCCCCAGCCAGCAGCCGGTAGGAACCCTACCAGCGCACAAATTTCACACACTGGGTCTCTAGTTAAGTATAATTGGAGAATAGAACAGATGTTTCTGAATTACAGGTAAGCATCCTATATAATAAAGAGGTGATGTGCAAATTGACCCTCATACCCTCACATCACAAGAGGACCACCCCCATGTTGTCACAAGATGGCCACCCCCACATTGTCACAAGATGGCTGGTAGGGGAAGGCCTCTTTTTAATTTAAATTTTGTTGGTCTATAATTTTGAGGGTCCCAGATTGCAGAGCGTGCAGGCTGGGCTGAGGGACACCCTCTCCCCTTGCAGGGCACAAATTTTGTGCACCAGGCATCTAGTGCAGAAATAAATAAAAGTCCCCAAATGATGCAACCTCCAGAAGTTAGTTTCATGATGGTGGGGTGGGGAGGTGAAAGGAGAATATATATTGGTGGAAGGAAGGAGGTAATGTATACTATTAGCTGAAAGTTTAAATTGATCTTGGATCCTTCTAGATGCAGATGCTGAGGTCTGAGGTTCAAAAAGGACTAGCAGACAACCTGTACTGAAGCTGAATTGATGCACTACTGACCTTGGGTTCCTCATGCCTCTCTCAGCCATAGATGAGAAGGAAGATGATGAGGGGGAAAGAATCTTGGCTATAAAAGTTCACTTTTTATCATTCCTGGAACAATGCTATACACTTAAATAAATATTTAACAAAACGCATACTAACATTTATCTGTTTTAGTACACAATTACATCATAATGTCTCAAGAGTGTTCTAAATAACATCTTATATTTAGGCCAATATTCTGTTTATTCCAGTTAAGACTATTATCTCTACACATGATCCAAAAATAAAG